TCCTTCAGATTGACTCCAATCAAATCTTTGATGTGCCCGAGGCGATCACGTACATCAAGCAGCTAGCCCACCATCGGCCGTGGTTCATTGAGGAGCCGACCGCGCCGACGGATGTGCTCGGACACGCGGCTATCCGGCGCGGCCTGGCGCCGTTGGGCGTCGGCGTGGCGACGGGAGAGCACTGCCCGAACCGGATGCTGTTCAAGCAGCTGTTGCAGGCCGATGCCGTAGACGTCGTGCAGATCGACAGCTGCCGCCTTGCTGGCGTCAACGAGGTGCTCGCGGTGATGCTCTTGGCCAAGAAGTTCGGTAAGATCGTCTGCCCTCATGCAGGCGGCGTCGGACTGTGCGAGTATGTGCAACACCTCAGCATGATTGATTACGTCTGCATTTCTGCCAGCCACGAGCGCAACGTGCTCGAGTTCGTCGACCACTTGCATGAGCACTTTCTGTACCCGTGCAGGATCAATGAGCAAGGTAGGTACGTTGCGCCCAACAACCCCATGGAAGGCTACAGCATGGAGATGAGCCAGAGCTCTATAGCGGATTACACTTTCCCCAATGGCGCGTATTGGGCAACCGGAAAGGCGAAAACAGCGCCGCCGCAAGGACATTGAGTGTGCGATCTGCACAGGGCAAACCGAAGCGCAGGTCATGCACAGTCTGCGAACGCAACGAATCTTTAGAGTTGATGTACAGCAATTGCCATAAGATCTGTGAATAAGCGGTGCGCTTAAGATGGCGCGCGAATGGTCTATCACCCACTTTTGAAAGTCTAGCATATATGTCGCTGCGCGGCCTATTCTGTCCTGCCAATCGCCGCTTTCCGGGATGTACTCTGCGCACCTATCTCCACGTTGCTGTCCTTCTTGTCGCTTTCCACAAAGCCCAGAAGGACCTTGCGTTCCAGTATCAGATTGGCGGCGCACATTGCGACGGTCGCGGCGAGGTATAACACGAAGACCCATCGCAGCGCACTGGCGTATGCTCGTACCGCCTCGGCTCGAATATCGCTCGGCAGCGTCTTGATCACGCTCGTCTCGTGCCGGATCTGGCTGATCAGCTCGGCTGCATGGGGCAGATGCCCGAGCGTCTGCTGCAGCTGCCGCTTCAGCAGCGATTGCAGCAGCAGACCCGAGAGCGAGACGCCAAGGATCTGACCCGTGTTGCGGAAGAGGTACGACATGGACGTCGCCACGGCAATGTCGGCGCGCGAGACTGAATTGATTAGGCTGTGGAGAGGGAAAGGTGAAATAGAAAAGAAGATTCTTTAGCGTCATGAACAAGCAACGTCATTCCGAGTCACAAACAGCTACTCACGCAATCAGCGTAGTCGTCAATACAGCCGCTCCACCCCAGCCTGCTGGAAGGAACATCGGGTAGAAGGCCCAGTCAGGCCAGACGTCTTCCCGTCCTACGACAATGCAGAACATGACTGGAGTGACGATCATCAAGCAGCTCGAGACGATTGTGTAGCTGTAGAAGCGACCGTACTTGCGCATGTACGCGCCGGCTGTGACGGACGAGACAGAGAGCGCAATCGAGTACGGGAGCAGGTGCAGGCCCGCGTCACTGGCGCTTTCGAGGCGGACGGCTTGGAAGTAGAGCGGAACATTGTACAAGCTGGCAAAGGAGGCGAAACTGAGGAAAAAATTGGCGAGCGCGTGGCTGAGGCCGGTGCGCTGTTGGAGAAGATACAGAGGCATGATCGGCTTAACCGCGACGCGGGCTTCGACAAAGACGAAGAGGCCGACGAAGATCGGCCCCAGGATCAATCCTCCAAGAACCGTGCCGTCCGTCACGGGTCGGTCGTTGGCTGAGATGAGACTGAGTGCGATCAGCGGTGCCGAAACGCCGATGAGGAGCGTGAGCGAGCCGAGTGCGTCGATGCGCTTCAACTGCGTCCATTTCGATTCGTTCGCGTGGTGTCCACCTACCCGAACAGCTCGCGGCTTGTTTTCAAAGTAGATAAGGATCAGGATAAATGCTATGGCAAGGACAGGAAGCTGGATGAGGAACGCGGGCTTCCAACCGAGCGTGTCGTTCAGCCAGCCCCCCACCGGTCCGCCCAGGCCACCCCCAATTCTTCATGGCGAAGAATAGCAAAAGTGATGTCAGTCTATAATCCTGAAACGCGAGAAGCCTTACATGCCGCTAACCCAAAAATTATATTCGTCAACCCTTGTAGCAGGCCCCTTGTCTTGATCGGAACCAAGTCAGACATAACAACGGACGAGGTGGTGGTGACGCCACCGGCGCCCATGCCAGCGATGGCACGCGCAGCGATGAGCATGTTCATGCTAGTCGCGGTCCCGCAGAGCGTCGTTCCGAGTGTGAAGAGGCCGAGAGCGATGAGCATGGTGTATCTCCTGCCGATCACGTCGCACAGCCTCCCGTAGATGGGTGTGAAGCATGCAACGGAGACGAGGAAGGCGGAGCCAAGCCAGGCGGACTGCTCGCTCGACTTGAAGCTGCTCGAGATGGAAGTGAGTAGTGTGGCGACGATCGTTGAATCGAGAGAGCCGACAAAAACAGGGACCCAGCACGCGGTCAGGATGGGAATCAAGGCGCGCAAGGGCGGCATCGTAGGATCTGTTGCTGCTGCTTCTGCTGCTTCAGCTGCGCTACTTGAGGACGCTCCGCGGGCCATGGGCGCTGAGCCATATTGTGGAACGCCATTCCCATTCTCCGGCGCACTTTCCGCCAATGCGGTACCGCTCTGGTCTTGTAGTGAATAGCGCGAGAAGCGATTGCCATCCGACTCGGGTCGGGTGCCGCTGAACAGCAGTGGAGTTCGCTCGTCTTGGCTAGCTCTGCCATTAGGTTGCGTATTCCGATATGCCATGTTGCCGATGATGCCCTCCCAGACTATCGAACGAGTTGAGATCCAAACTTTAGCCTGATTTTTCGTTTCCTACGGAGAGTTTCAAGGCCTGCCTTGGGTGCTCTTGCTACCTCAACTGAGGCTTGCGCCAGGTCACACCCTAGAATGCCGCCGTCAAGGGGAGGGCCCTCGAGGTAGTAAGGAGGATATACAAAGAGGAGAACGACGGTTCAATACTCAGGACAACCCGTGCATAAGAAGTGGCTGTCGAGCATATATATATAGATACGACCATCGACCCCGTTGGCCATGTCTCCGCTATGGTTGACATCTTGGAGCCTGTTCATCACCATCATTGCATGATATCGGTGGCGACTTTCGCGCAATGTGGCAGCGCCTCAGACATCGCCACATTGCACCGATTGAAACCCACCAGAAGGCCTCGGGTTATTTGGCGAACGCCGACGCCGCGATCGAAAGTCGCCGATGGCCTCGGCCGCCCTGCTTTTACAATTGCAGGAAGGGTGTTCTCCCTCAGGCCATCCCCTATTCCTGCTTGGACATCCGCTAAAGTGGGCTTGCGCTGTGATCCATACCCTCGCTTCGGTTGGCGTTACACAGGATGACTTGCATACCTACCCTTCGGATGGGTGCGTCGTTGGCAAGCACGAGCCGCTTAGCCGGCGGGGCTGCTGCCGCCACGTCCTCCACCGCTTGGTGCCCTAGCTCCCTGCTGCGGAAGAGACTGCACTACCCAGCGCGCGGCTTCTCGACGGACAAGCTGTGGTCTCCTCAGCATCCTTCGAGCATGATCTGTTCTTATCTTGCTAGACGGCCACTCTCAGATGCGTCGGCAAAGCTGTCCAGACTGCGGCGGCAGTCAACCCGCTCCAGTGCTCCCTCCAGTGCCTCCTCCTGTTTTACGGCAGCACCGAACGGACCGCCGCTTTCCGTGCATGACCGGCTTCTGGCGATGGAGAGAATGAAGCGAGATGCATACAAAAAGCGAAATCAAAGCCTGATGATGTACACTGCTGCAGCTGTGAGCATCTTGTCAGCGCCACACCAAGCCCCCTTACAGAAACTTACAAAGTGCCTCTGCTCATTTCTTTGACGGGAGTAGCTTCTTCTCGGCCTGGGCGTGACATATGCAGCGGTCCCCTTCTACCGCGCGTTCTGCGGCGCGACGGGATTCGGCGGCACGCCGATGGTCTCACAAGGCCGCTTCGAGCCATCTCGCTTGGTGCCCATCTCATACTTTGGCGACACCGGCTCGCGGATCAAGCGAATACGCGTCACATTCAACTCGGATACCAGCGACTCGTTACCGTGGAGCTTCACGCCTGTCACAAAGGAGATCCACGTCCTACCTGGGGAGACGGCGCTGGCGTTCTACACGGCGACAAACAAGGGAAAGAAAGATATCGTTGGCATTGCGACGTACAATGTCGCGCCAGACAGGGTGCGTGAACTTGACAAAAACAGCTCAATTGAACCCCAGTGCTAAACAGCAAGATTACCTCTTTCTACTCGCAGATCGCACCATACTTTGCGAAAGTCGAATGCTTCTGCTTTGAAGAGCAAAAGCTGCTTGCAGGCGAGGAGGTGGACTTACCCGTCTTCTTTTTCATTGACAAGGACATGCTCGAAGATCCCGCAGTAAAGGACGTGGAGGAGGTCGTGCTGAGCTACACATTCTTCTCTGCGCGTAGAAATGAGAAGAATGGCCAGCTGGAGCCCGACACGGATCTCAGCCAGTACACCGTCGGCATGGACTTGCCCGACCTCAAATGAAAGTGTGCGCCACGGGAGAAGCGGCCGGTTCAGCACTACGTATCATCCCATCGTTCATTTCACTGGTCACATCCAAATCCATTCGCACAGTGGTGAAAGGTGTAATATGCAAGCAAAGAGTGGTGACTGACTCCTCCATAAATACAGGGTGGGAAGCCGTCGCCCAATTTAGATGGCACCATTGAAACTTGCTTGCCCCTTAGGGCCGACCTTCGAGCCCGATAAAGTTTGGCCCAGTCATACGGGCTCGTCATGATGCCGAACAACTTCGGGTCATTGAATATCGCCAAGGTGTGATTGGTAGAATGACCAGCTCCCGTTTCCCCGCCGCCCGGTGTCGATTTCTGAAATCCGCAAGAACAGTCAGAACTGTCAAGCTAGAGCCAGAACCGAAGGGCAAAGTGCCGCTGACGTCGGTGGCAGTAGCAGTAGCATTAGCAGTAGCAGTGACAGAACAGGTCGGAATTGCCTGAGAAGGCTTCGGACGGTGCCAGTTCCATACGCGACTGCTGTCATCGAGCGTCAGTATGGCTGGTATCAACAGCGAGAGCTCTATCAGGAGGCTCAATATGTCTGGGAATGACTTTTAAGCGAAGTCTTTCGTTTCATTCGGCTGAGCTGTGGAACTGGCATGCTCATTTGCGTACGCCACCGGTGCAGGTGGTGTGTAAGCAACATTTCCCGCCTGCTCAGTGGGAGCGGAGCGATTCATCTGCCCTCGGTTGTTAGGGTCTTGCGCCTCCATCGTCTTGCGCTGCCGGCCGGCCTCCTCCTTCTTGGCTGCGTACCGCTACTGCGGCTGCTGCCTAAATATGCAGAGGCCCGACAGCAGGGGATGGCAAACGCCAGCGGCATAGTTATCGTGCGTGCCGAACAACTCGAGACATTTGAGCGTTTGCAAAATGCGCGACCGAACCAATCCAGATCGGCCTGCGGCCATTTATGCCGCCGTAACCTACTGAATCGGGCGATGAGTGGTTGTCAAAGTCGGCCAAAAGGAAGGGGACAGCGAAATTGGTAGATGCCCTTAGCAAATGCGGATGCAAGAGAGTAAGCATACGTCAATATTCAGCTTGCTCCCACGCTCGAAAGACAGGAAATCGACATGATCGCCCCACAGAGATCGAGTTGCCGTGGAGCGGCTCCACTCCGAAGTCGCAAGCTTCAATACGAGCGGCATGAACTCTTGAAATGCGCGAGAAAACGCATTAAAATTGGTGAAGAGAGATATCGGGTCTGTCGCGGCGACACGACTCACAATGTTCATCATCGCATGCAGCAAAGCTGTGCAGTACAGCTAGTCCGGCTCATCTTCTTCTTCCGGGAATTTCGCATGGTGGTGCAGCGAAGGTAGCAAAGGGAAGGTGCGCCAAGATACCTTGCCCGTACTGGTAATGGCTTTCTCTGGTGTTCGCCACTTCACCATTGCGGATCGTGTACATGTTCAGCCACACGGCTGCGAGATCCTTGACCAGATTCCTTTCCAGAATAATATCCAGCTGCGATCAATTTATAGCCCTCCTGCAGTGAGGTGTGCGGAAGCGAATGCACGTGCATGAAGCCTTTTGTTTCGATGCAATACAGATAGCTACTGTCAGTTTCGCGTTCACGGCCTCTCAATCAGTGTGAGCATGAAAGGAACGCTCACCTGCATCAAGGCGTCCGCCGTTTATATGCGCATGAAGCGTTCCTCTACTGATATGGCAGGGAAGCCCGGCTTGCGCATTCTGGTGCTGAGATCTTATTCCTCTGGCGGGTCGAACAGGGATGTAGAGACGTTGTAACAGCTGGGAATGATGGCAAAGCCTATCAGAAAGTGCCAACATTTCCAGCTGCAGGGCGAGATTGCCAAGAATCTGTGAGCGCGGCGGACAGAAGGAAGCCGCTTTCTGGGGGAATTCACTCACCGATCAAACAATACGATCTGAAAAGCGGCTTGTCTCCGCCATTCTCGCATGACAACGGTCAATCCTTGCTACACTTTGTCGTGCGCATCGGCAAGGCGTATGCTCTCGCATCTCCCGGGGGTAAGGCCGGCAAGCTGCCAGGTGACGTTGTTGAGACCTACGAGCACGGCGCACGTCATGGCGAGCGCACCGACGATGGCTCTGATGACGCTGATGTCCAGGCGTGAAAGAGGAACGCGTCGTCCGGCGACTCCGCCACTTCCATTGTCACACCCATCGACGAACTCCATCGCGAAGCGGTAATAGTGCACATGCAACTTCTTTGGCTAGGTTATGTGCGGCTCGACTTCTTCCGACGCCGTAGGGATGTGCAAACCGATGTTGGCGAAGTAAAGAATGATGGCTGCCGCGTCCGATCCAGGAATGGCTTTCCCTGCGGTCCAGCGGACCCAGTAGCTATTCAGTGTAGGGTGGTGGGTGAGCAGAGCCTTTCAAAAAGTTCTGATGAGGGCCAGAGTGCGACGCCACCAAAGGCCCATGCCGGACCGCGCATCAGTTGGAACGCACCGTTAAAACAGTACTGCAGCATCATGTCACACTCTGGATTAAGGAGCAAGCGTGCCGAGACCGGGATCCTATGGTTTTCGCCCAAGATCTTGTTGTGACTCTGCGCCAAGTGATCCGTATCGCGGAAGCTTTACGCATCGAAGCCAGTTTCGACATGGTCCTCATCATGCATCTGCAGACCGTCTCTGAGGGTTATCATGTTACTTTCCTCTTGTAGCAGGTCTTCCTCCATGCGCCACGAAATTGCGGCCATTCGTCTTTCTCGTAATCGCTGTCGTAATCACCATGATCATCAAGGTCGGGGTCTGAGTCTTCCACCGTGAACGCCCCTTCGAGCGCTGAGAGCGACGCATGCATGGTCGCGATCTGTTTGCAAATCACACCGTTGTTACTAAGATCAGCCGAACGAAAGTCGTCTGCTGGCCACTTTCGCTTTCTCGAAGAGGTGCCACTTACGATTGCGACTGGTGATGAGGGTGCCGTTTGGCTCTGAACGGATGGTGGTGCAGCCGTGGAGATAGAGCCGCTGATGGAGCCGATCTGCGTGGGCAACGAGAACGAATGTGTGTCATTGCTGTAAGAGACCCCTTTGTGGGACCGAGAGTTAGAGCGGTCGTCGCGCTGCGCAACATGCGCTGAACCCAAACTCTGCAAAGAAAACGCAGCAGTGGAGCGAAGAACACAGGACGAGCTGCCCAAGGACGCGAGGGCCAGCCGCCTCTTCCAACGCTTGAGCATCCCACCGAGTATTACAGAGTATTCAGGGGGGTATCATTCTTACCATGGCTGCAGCAGATCGCACTGGGTTTTGCACCGCTACCACGGCTCACAGCTTAGCGGGAGCAGGTGCTTGCTACCTTCACTCATGGGCGGGACCCTTCCGGATTTCGGAACGGTGCAGAGGCGTCTTCGAGATCCTTCCTCAACGACATTCACTGGGTTGATTTGCGAGGCACACAGGGATGAATTGTACGTTCTGTCTACTTTCACTTGAGACAGCCCGCAATGGATGATGTTTGGACCAGGATGGAGGATCTGCTGACGACGTCAATGAGGATATCTTGGTGTGTTCGCGCTGCGCCGCTTTTGGTTGGTGAGTCGATTTCCATCAGCGACTCCTCTGATAAAAATTCGCCGAGATTACGTCAGCAATCAACCATTTTTGCCTAGAACTGGGCATGCAAGAATTCTACGACTTGCACACATCGATTGAACTGGGATTGATAACATCTCAGCGATCGCGCACCCACTGTCCATGGACCATGGTGAGGCCGACCGAGTGAAGGTTGGAAGCAGATACACAGCCCATCGAAGGTCCTTGTAGTCCCTAACATTTCAGTCCAGATGGTTGAGCGAGAACCTATGGTCGCCCTGCCGGGACAGCCACTAGCGGGCCCATCAACGACCTCCGAGTCGACCTTACCCTCCGCTGGGTCAGGCTCTGGAACGTACCGCCGCGGGCCATTCGTTCTTTCCAGCTTGGTAGGGCGTGTATCGTGCGACACAGCATCAGAAGGTTCGAAAGCCCCTATCGCTGCGAACTGTAGACTTGGATTGGGTGGTAGCATGAAGGGGAAAGGCCCTGCGAACACCGCCAATATCGACTCGCCACTGACCATCTCGATCAAAGGGTCGACAGCAAGATTTACAGTGCCGGAGACAGACTCTGTGGTGAGTATACTGTCGAATGGAATGCTCTTATGATCATTTTAGGATATCTTTTTGGCTGCTCGCGCCCTGGCCTTTACAAGCTTAGATCCCAGTGTACTGGATGTCTGGGCCACAGCTGACCAATGTGCTCTCATTCGAACTCGTCTATCGGCTTTCTGTACCCCCTCCGGTCGCAGGTGCTTGCACGGATCACTCGGGTCAGCCCGCGTGAAGCTCGTTGTGCAATCCTGGTTGTAAATGGGGTGCCTTGCGGTCTCAACGTGTCTTCCATATCATCTTCGTCAGGACGCGGAAGCAAAAGCAAAAGCAATAGCAACCTGCTCTTGAGCATATCGGCTTCGGATGACGGTAATCCGGACAATCTCTTCCAAGGAGTCATACGCTCGCAGGATGTCCGAGCTACGAACAAGGATAGCGTACGCATGAACGAGTCCTTCAGACCCGGTGACATTGTACGAGCCATCGTAGTACGTCATAACTTGATTGCGTTTCAAACCGTGAGACTTACCACTGACGCAAGTTATCTTGAACAGATTTCGCTTGGCGATGCTCGATCCTACTACCTCTCCACTGCATCCAATGAGCTCGGCGTAGTCTATGCAATAGCAGCCAGCTCTACGGCCCCGGACTACATTCTAATCGATGACGATCTACCGTCATCGTCGCATTTCGCTTTAGGTGAGGCTGCCAACGCTTCAGCGCCGCGCGCAGGAGCAGCCGAAAGAAAGCCAGTAGAGATCATGTCGCGCCCTTCAGCCGTACCTCTGCAGCCACTCAATTGGGCAGAGATGCGGGACCCTACGACGGGAGCAATAGAAAAGCGAAAGGTCGCCAAGCCACTTGTAGTATGATTTCAAGTGTCAAAGCGAGAGCTCCTACTCGGAGAGTCGGTGCTTCTCGAACCGTCCGAGAAATCAGCGGTCCAAATTCCAGATGCAAGCATGCTGGATGAGAAACAGATATGATCCATAGTTGACGGTCTTCAGAATGCTATTACACAACTATTGGCTTTATGATTACAGATCACTCCATCTCGACATCCTCGTCCTCATCCTCTGCATCGCTTTCTCGCACGTCATCCTGGGCCTCTGCTTGCCCGCCCTGCTTGTTCTGTGTCTCTTCGACGAACGCTCTAGCGCGTTGCAGAACGGCTTGCTGGCCGTCGGGCGTGCCATACCGCTTCTCGAATTCGAGCCACTTCTTTAGCACAGACTTGCCCTTTTTGGTGCTCTGTCGTAGCGACAGCACGCGGTCGAACAACGCCCTGACGCGTGGCACCGCGGCGTGCTTCCCGTCGGAGCCTGCGATGGAGGACACTTTGGCTTCCTGGTCGATGTACTGCAGCCAGATGTCGAGACGCTTCGGGTACGTGTCGAGCAGCCCTTCGAAAATCGTGCGCCCGCGCTCGGCATCCCCGATCTTGAATTCGGACAATGCAAATCCAGTGATCGTCTTGACATCTGTAGGTAGCGAAGGGGTATGTCAGCAAACTGCAGCGAGATCTAATGGTAGCTTCAAAAGGCGGCACTCACGCTTCCTCTTCGGCAGGCTCTGCATGCTTCGTGGAAGCAGCTGGCGAGCTTCCTCCGCCTTTCGTTCACGCAGGAAGTATTGGCCATAGAGGACCCAGACTTTTGAGCTAAAGCCAAACTTCTTCGTCGTCTTCTTCCAGAGCTCCTCGACCTTGTCCATTTTGCGCGTCCGCTCGTAAATCTGTAGCAGGCGCAAATGGATCGTCTTGGCATCATTCGCTTGCGCTGCCTCTTTGAAAATCTTATCGAGGGAGTCGTCCGAGCCGTACGTATTCTCAAGGTTGAGCAGCGCGATCCAGACGTTGAGACGCTCCTGATCCTCGCGGAAGTTGATAATTTTGAGCGCTCGTCGAGCAACTTCCCGTGCGCGATCAATATCAGCAAGCTGGAGGTGGAAGCTCATGAACTGGATCCAGATGTATGAGCTGTTCGGCGAGCCGAGGAGAATACGCTCAAAGTCTGTCGAAGACTCTGGAGCCTTTGTCGCCAGGTCTGCCGTGATGTCTTCCGTAACTTTTGACCTTTTCCCTTTCCCCTTCGCTGGGTTAGTGCCTCTGCACGGAGCGCCGTCATCACTGTCACTGTCGCCCGAGTTGTCTGAGATGGTGTCCAAACCCGCACTCGCGCTAGCATCGGCATTCCCAGACCAGCTGAACCCTACTGCAAGCTCGAGGCGAGGAACCAGCGTAGGTTCAGAAGAGCCGTCGGCTGCGGTTACCGCACTTTGAGCACCGAAGCCATCGGCTTCAATGAAGTCTTCGTCATCCGAGGTATCGCCTTCGAAAGCGTTTCCGTCCCCTTCTGCCTGTTCAGAGTCGCCTGCCACTGCATCGGCCATTGCATCGTCATCGTCCTCGTCCTCGTCCTCATTATCCATCCCATTCATGTTCGAGTCCTTCTCCCCGACTGCATTGCTCGACCCTTCTGCCTCATTGCCTTCGCCCATCAGACCACCCTCCTCTTGTGCTGCACCATCCGCAAAATCAGCGGCTGTGAAGTAAGAAGGCTTCAGACCGAAGGAAATCTTGTTCTTCGCTTCAGCCACCTCGATGATTACCGCCTTGACGCGATCGCCAATGCTGAAGGCTTGGAGCGCATCGTCGGGAGCATTGTCCGCGAGCTGTCATAGGTCCAAGCATTCACACGTCAATTCAGATCTCAGCTCTGACAGGAAGGAGAGCAAACCCACCTGCGACTTGTGACAAAGGCCGCTAATGTTCGTCCCTTCGATCTGGACAAAGACACCGTACTTAGAGGTGCCACGAACAAAGCCATTAACCTTCTGACCGGTCTGAAAGTCGGCTATCCGCAAGGATTTGCCGCTCTTATCTTCTTTTCGTTCCTTGCTGGCCACAGGCTGCTTCGCGCCTTTGACGCCTGTCTTGAGCGACAACTCCACTTTGTTGTGTTTCGCGTCGATCTCCGTTACCGTCCCAAAGACCATCTGGCCGACGTGGAATTTAGACTGCCAGTCTTTCACAAAACCGTCGAAGAGCTCTGCAATCTTTACGCGAGCTGTTGCGTAGCGGCCAATGTCGACGAAAAGTCCGGCATTGGCAATGGACTTGACGTATCCATGCAGACGAGCACCGACCGTGAGATCTCCGACTTTATTGGGGATCTCATCAACAAGCGTCTTAGTAATCGAGCTGGACGTCTGCACGCCGGCCCCAGAAGTAGCGGATGCAAGCACAGAAAGCCGCATCGAGACATCCGCACGACTGGAGGACTGACGCAGGTTCATCACAACGACTTTGACGGTCGAATCGAGCGCTGGCAGCTTTGCGTTTGCGGGGTCATCATTGCAGTCGAGCAGGTGTAGCCGCCCTCGGCACTTGTTTGGAAGCATGACGGTGACCGCGGTCGGCTCGCTTTCCTTGATGACGCGTACTTCGTAAATATCGCCTGTCTTGGGAGCTGTGCCTTTTGTCAAGACACGTGCCGAAGGCGAACCAGCGGTACCAACGATGACGATACCTTTCTCTTGGTTCTTGCTGACGACAACGAGGTCCTTGAGCACTTCGCCCTCTTGCAGACCATCTCTGAGCTCTTCAACAGACACTCCGCGGTGGCGAGCAAGAATAGAAAGCGAAAGAAGCGCTCTAACTTGGCTTGGGACGAGGCTCAACACGATCACATCTTGATGCACAGCTGCAAGTGTCGCCTCCACTTGCTGGCCAAGCTCAACTGCATCGACGTTCAGGCGCGCCTGGAACGAAGGCAGTGCCTGGCGGATACTTGCCACGAGCCTGCCCGTAGCATAGTCCACGTGTGTGATGCGCACCTTGAGCGGTTTGCCTTCGTAGAATTGGGTGCGAAGATCCGTCAAGTATGACTCGCTCGCTTCGCTGGAAGGCACCAACGCTCGGGTACCGCCAAAGAAATCGACAAGCAGGCCCTTGTCCGCTTCGAGCACTTTTGAGATCGTAGCATGCGTAAGCATGCCGACGCGAGCGTCCTGAATCGATGAGATGATTGGGAGCTCCGAGTTGATGAGGGTCTTTTTGAGCGTGAGGGCGATGCGATTCCGTGCTGGTTCGACGAGCAGGACCTTTGCGTTGACCTTCATGCCCGGTTTATACTTCTTCTCTGGCTTCTTGAGGACAATATCGCTAAAATGCAAAGGGAAGACGATACCGTCGACACTTCCTCCGAGATTCAGGAAGATCCCGCTCGGCTTGACTTCTTTGACAGTAGCACGCAGCACCTCGCCGACTTGTACCTGGCTGACGCGCATGAAAGACTTGGCGAGGATCGAAGGCTGCATGCTCAGGAGAAGCAGCTTGTCGGTCAGCGCATGCCCAATTACACGCGCTGTGTGTGTGCTGCCAAGTTTATATGCGCCAGATGTAGCAGAGAGACGGACAATGTGATCATCAGAGACCCGTGAGATGTGCACAAACCCTGGAAGGACCGAGCCCTGTTTGCCAGCTTTTCCTTTGGGATCTTCCGTCCTTCCCGCAGCTAGTGACACGGAAACATTGAGCCCCCAGTCAGAGTCGCAAGCTGTGATGGTGGCGTTGACATCGGTGCCGATGGGTAGCTGCATTGCGATGCTCTCCTGCGACTCGAGCTTGAGCACATGCTCAGCGGCACTGAGGCCAATCTTTCTGTCCTGCTCATTATCGCCCATGCCTTCCATGTCGAAGCCATCGTCCGAGTCACCTTCATCTCCCAGACTGAAGGCTGCTCCTCCCACGACACCTCCCGCGCGCCGTCTACCGTTCAGCCTTGCGGGACCTTGGTCCCATAGAACGCGCGCAGTCAAGTGCGCGCCAACCTTGTATACGTCTTGCAAACCCTTCGTGGTCTTGCTCGCTGATCCTTCGACTTCCGCTTTCTTCAACGATTTGGCGATGGGAAGTGGAGGTAGATGGCTGATGTCGACAGTAGCGTCGAACATGCCCCACAGCTTCACGCCCAAGCCTTTCGCGCTAACGGACGTGACAAGCGCGTTGACCTTCAAGCCGGGCATTAGCGCACTCAGCGATGGCGCATGTGTCGGCCCAAGCGAAGCTGCGCTCAACTTGGACGGCTGCACGCTCAGTTGCAAAAGCGTCTTGCTGCGGGAAGGCGTTGCGCTATTGAGCGAGGTAATGCAAGCGGGGAGGACTTGGCCGATGGGATAGTCCTTCCGGTGTTTCGATGCGCCAGATGAGTTCAACTCGAAAGGCGTCTCACTGAAGGGTACGAAGCCAGCGATCGAATCGCCGAGACCGAGGTCGACACTCCAGCCATTGTCCTCCCTCGCTTTGATCGCAACGGGCAGAACGTAGCCTGGGGCGAGATCTCCCTTTGATCCCTCCATGCTGCCGGGCTCTCCTGCAAGTCCTACGTCCAAAGAAGCATTTACATCCTTGGGGTCGAGGCTGCACACCACCCTCCTGCTCTCCTTTTCGTACTCCCCGCCCTCACGCCCTGGTCCGAATCGTTGGCCGCGTAGGCTACCCGGCGATGCAACGCTGATAACGGTCGCAATGACGAATTGACCCGCGGCAAACATGTCGCGCAGCTCAGGGACATCGCTTTCTCGGAGTTGGCGCTTCCTAGGCTGCTGTGGCACTCCCTGTGAGTTGTCTTCGTCCGAGTCAGACTCTGCGTCTGAGGTGTCTTCGTCTTCGTCCAGGAGGTCTCCCTGCTCGGCAGCCATGGCCGCGTGCTCAAGGCGCTCGGTGAAGATGCTGCTGATCTGTGTGATTGGAACATGCGCAAGCAGTTGGTTGGGAAGGGAGAGCACAACTGCCAGGGGATGAACAGCAAGGATCGTTGCAAGGACTCTGGAGCCGGGAGCGAGACGCTGCAGAAGGAAGCAGTGTAGTTGCGTGTCAGCAAAAGAGCGCAGATCCGACCAATGTGCGGCGGCTACCCACGTTGTAATTCAAGTGCTCCACACGAATGGCATCCTTGTGGATCGCAGCCGCAGCAGCGGACACCGGATCCACACTATTTGCTTCTCCTCTTCTCTTTTTTTTTGCCCTGCCTTCCCTATCGTCGGCTAGCCCAGCTGAAGAGCTTCGTCCCTTCCCCTTCTTGCCAGCGCCATCGGTGAACAAATCTCCGTCACGAACAGCTGCCTTGGCATCCGCGGCAGCTTCCCCTCTTGCCTCACGCAGGGTTTGGCGGTATTCGACTGGCGTCAGGCTCGAGCCTCCCCCTCGAGGAAAATCGATCTCGGCAGGAGTGCTAAACGTGCTCGCTGCCTTTCCTGCAAGGGACGATGGCGTGCCGTTTGAGGGTTGAAATTTCCGCCTTCTTTCCAGCGGTGCGGCGCCATTTTTCGCCCTGTTGGCTTTCAATGCTTTAGCATCTTGAAACTGGAACGCAGAAGCTCCTTGCGATGAGAACTGCGCCTGTGGCTTTGCTGCCACCATTGCTTTTGCTTTGAGTTTCATTGCAAGCTCAGGCTTGGTCTCTGCCTTCGAGTTAGGCTTCTTGACGGAAGAGGAGGACGAGGTTTTCTTTGATGATGCCTTCTTTGCGCCCTTGCCTTTTTTGCTCGGTGAAGGAGCAGCTGGCGACTTTTGCGCCTGCTTGGCAGGGCCGCCTGCAGCACCCGCAGCCTCCTTCTTTTTCGCTGAGGCCGACATTATGCCCGGTGATTGTTTCCTAATCGAGGATGTGCACCGTTCTACGCAATGACGCTGTGCTTCCTGGAGGGTCAACGTGACCGCGTGTGTGTCTTCTTCTGGAAGTGAATTGTGGTCTTTGCGGAGGACTCGAGGTGTCCAGGATGAGGAACGCTGAAGGCAAAAAAAATTGGAGTAATTACATAAGCAGCTTGTTCCGCCATTCTGGAGCTGCCAGTCTAAAAGCGATTTCCCCCTGAATCGAGGTGGTAGTGGGGGGAGTTCTGTAACTACGTGGCAGAAACCGGTGCGAGGCTCTGAGCGCAAGCAGGCCAGTTTTCAACAGCTTTGAGCAAATAACGGGGGTTCCATAGCCATTTTCCCGCATTTAATGGGTTGGGGTTCCAGCAGAGCGGCACCGTGTTTGGTGTGCAGGAGTCGCGCGGCAGGTCATCGATCGATTATCGAGACTCATCCACCGATAATGCTTGCGTTGTTATAGCTGCTGATAGGTGTTGATGGATGGCCGCAGGGCTGGTTGATTGGATGTGCCTGTTGTGCTGGAGCAGGGGTGCATTCCAAGCATAGAGCACACGATTGTTCGCAGCAGCAGCATCTGATTGGCTCACCTCAGCGGAGGCAGTCGATTCAAGTGTTCAGAACCGACGCGAGGCAAAGGCGTCCAATCTCATCTGCCATACCCCAGGTGCTCTGAGGAGCGTCGCGCCCCAAGTATTGATGCCATAAGGGCAATATGCCAGCTTCGACAAGCAACAGCAATGCTGCAGCGACAGGACTCATGTCCACAAAGGACTCGTTCAACGCCGCGCTGCAAGCTCGAAATCCGTCAAACAACTACATTGCGCATCTCAAGATCTGGGAGACGGCCGAAGATGACACGGGCGCCGGCGCAGCTGGCTCCTCGCAGAGAAAGGCACGCTACCTCATCTTGGCGGTGGACAAGTCTAGCGGTAAAGTTAGCATCAACAAGGCCAAACGCAATGCGAATGGCAGCTTTAGCATTGGCAAAGATTGGGACTTGAACACATTGCACGAGGTACAGGTTTACGGGGTACGTTGATTGAACAGGCCAGGGGAAGACGGCCAGCCGGAAATTTGACTGACTGTTCTGTTGAATCAGCCCGACTCATTCTGCATTACCCTTACGCGGGCTTATAAGTGGCAGACAGAACGTCCACGCGAACAGACCCTCTTCCTGCAATCGCTCGTCAAAGTCTACCGCAAGTATACTGGCGACGAGTGGGCACCGCGAGTCATCGGCCTGGACATTCCCGGCTCTACACCCAGCGTTGGCGGCAGCTCATCCGCACGCCACAATGATTTGAATGACGTCCCACGCACAGCGCCGATCGACACGGCCAGCGGAGCGAATGAGGATAGCCCCAATCGGAGGCAACCGCGCCGCTTGACGACAGGCGCCAGCGATGGGTTTTACCAGCCCTCCTTCAATGGAAACACACCATTGAAGCTAGCTGTGAACACGTCCTCGTCGCCTTGCAAACCCGTCGCACTGGGCTTGCCATCTGCCATTAGCATCTACGATGCTCAGCCGTCATCAAGGCCGATGGAAGTCATGGATGGTTCATACGATGGCTATCCAGGCAGATCTGCCTCGAAGCCGCTAGCAGCATCCGTAGCGGCTACTGGGCCGGGCTTGAGAACAGATGTAAGGCAGAGCACTGCGGCATCTACACATTCGCGCATTCAGCCACCCAAGGCGTCCACCTCGCCTTCATCATCTGGCGGCTTCTACGGTCACCAGAGGCCAGGGGCGCACAAGGCAGCGACAGCGCAGACCTCCCTCGATCGAGACGACGATGATGATGACGCCGCTGCTTTCCACAGCGCCGAGGAAGATTCGGGTCAAGTCGACGCAGCGGCAGCGGCGCATGCAGTAGCCGCCTTGGAGGCGGATCGCAAGCGGGAGAAGGAGAGGGAGAAGACCTTGGCGCGCGCGAGAGAGAGAGAGAGAGAGCTAGAGCGCGAACAAGAACTAGCGATGGAAAGGGAAAGGGAACGAGAGCGAGAGAGTGAGAGTGAGAGAGAAAAGGAACGGAAGCGGCTAGAGCAGGAGCGGCTAGTGCAAGAGCGGCTAGAGCAAGAGCGGCTAGAGCAAGAGCGGCTAGAGCAAGAGCGGCTAGAGCAAGAGCGGCTAGAGCAAGAGCGGCTAGAGCAAG